GTTTAGGGCTGTTGTACATAGGGTTGCTATGAGTCGCAGGCGACTCGAGGGCACATAACAAGAACAACAACAACTCTGGTAGAGTAGGTTCTGACCCCAAGGTGACCCTCCATCAGGTTGGGGCTGTAGATCCCAACGAGAGGAGGATGCACCCTGCTGGCAGCCTTTTCATAAGCTGCAAAGGTCGTTACAAACGGGGCCAGCAGAGCGCCCTGCTGCACATTTGTTGTTGTGTGCCTTCAAATCAGAACTGACCCATCACTGACCCTCCATCAGGGTCTGAGGCTGTAAATCACGAGGAGAGGAGGCTGCACATCTCTAGAAGACCTTGAATTAGCAGTGAAGCTTGCTACAAACAGGGCAGCACGTTTGTTGTGTGCCTTCACGTCAGAACTAACCGATCCACAGCTGGCCCTCCACAGGGTTTTCACAGCAGCAAATTGCATGAGAGGAGATTGCCCATCCTTCTTCCACAGAGCAGACTCGAACTAAGTGCCTTCAGGATTGCAACACAGCTTCTTGTTATGTGCTGTCAAGTCACCTGTGACTCATAGCAACCTTATGTGCAACAGCCCTAAACCCTGCTCTATGCTGTGCCAATCCTGTCTCCAACACACCTGTCTCCATTGTCCCAGTCACTGAATAATCCATCTCATTGAGGGTCTTCCTCTCTTGCACTGTCCCTCCACCCTCCCAAGCAGGACGTCCCTCTCCAAGGACTGGTCCCTCCTTGCAACATGTCCAAAGTCTGTCAGGCGAAGCTTCAGAATCCTTGCCTCCAAGGAGCAGCCTGGCTTCACCCTCTCTAGGACAAACTTGTTTGTTCTCCTAGCAGTCCATGGTATATTCAATACTCTTCTCCAGCACCACAGCTCAAAGGCATCTACTCTCCTTCTGTCCTCCCTAGTCATTGTCCAGCTCTCTGATGCATAACAAGTGATTGCAAAGACCATGGCCTATGTCAGGCGCATCTTAGTCTCCAGACTGACATCATTGCTCTTCAGTACTTTGGAGAGGTCTCTGACAGCAGACTTCCCCAATACAATTCATCTCTTAATTTCCTGGTTGTTGTTGTTAGGTGGGCGTAATTTAATCCCTAACACTCAGTTTCCCCAGCTCATCCGGGAAGTGAGGATTAAGTACACAGGACTGTGATGTGCTGACTTGTCTCCCTGTCCACCTCATTCTGATCATGTGTTTCACCCCGAGTGCTGGCTGTGGAATACTACCCTGTTAAGAATCCCCTGTGATGAGCTATCACCCAAGCTCACCCGGGAACTGAGGACTATGAACACGTCCTGGAATGCAAAGGGAGCAGGGAGAAAGGTCAGAGCCCATACCAGGGCCCAGAGCCTTCCTGAAGCAGCAGGCCTGCGGTCAGCATGGTGGAGTCAGCAGATCCATCTCAGCAGGTCCCTGGGGAGGTGGGAGGCTGGGCTGGGCCTGGGCAGCCTCTTGCCAGGTAGTGATGCTGCTAGAAGGGCTGGTCCCTGCAAACCCACAGCCTGGCAGACAGGGCAGGGGCCGAGGGGACAGTCACAGGGCCATCCGCTGGTCCTCAGGCGAGGGGGAGGTGGCTTTAGGGAGCATGTGTCACCACGGCCACTAGGCCACAGGTCACTGTCGGTAGAGCATGTCCCGCAGCAGATTACCCAGGATCGGGAGAAAGGGGTCCAGACTGAGGGACCACAGCAGAGGGTCACGACCGTCTTACTTCTCGTCCAGTGCCACTGAATTGGTCCTGACACCTGGTGACCCGGTTCATGGTGACCCCGTTGATCCCACTGAACCCGGCCCAGCCCCGCACCGTCCTCATACTGCAGGTGCACTCAAGCCCCCGCAGTCACCGTGTAATGTGGGTTTCCTGAATCCCACAGCTCACCCATCCCTCCGGCCTCGCCCCCCACTTTGGTTGCAGGCATTGCGGCCCCAGCACAGCAGGGAGAGGGCTTTGCACCCTCTTCTGGAGCCCCCACTTACCATGCAAAGCCTATTCAGTTAAGCCTCTGCAATCACCTCAGCCCCCCTTCTCACCTCCCCATGTGCCCCCACCTGGAAGACCATTCATTGGGGGCTCAGACTGAATGCCTGCTGGGTGCCAGTCATGGGGGGAGGCCCGGATGGTCCAGGCTAGCCCAGCAAGCCTGGCCATCTTCATCCTTCGAGCTCAACTCAATGACCACTGCCCGTAGGAAGTTCCCTCCCAGTCCCACTGGCTCCTGTGTTCCACGTCACACAGCCACATGGCTCGTGTCTATTTCTGAGTGCTGACCTCCCAAATGGGGCAAGGCCGGCCAGCCCTACCCTTCTCCCAGGCTTCCGTGCAGGGCCTGCCTTGAATGGGTCCTCTCATGAGGTGATGCAGTGGACACTGAGCTCCAGGCGACCAGTCTGGACAGGCTGGTGCAGCGCTGACCTCTGACCCCTCCTCACCCTCCTCTGTCCTTTGTTCTTGCAGACATCCTCACTGGCACGGAACACGTGAAAGACACGAGTCTGAACGGGCAGCAAAGGCCGGCTGCTGACTTGGTGTGTCTCCGGGAAGCTCCTGGATCCTGCCTCACACCATGGGCCACCCAAGCTGGTCAGTTTCTAGACAGGCACTGGGCAGTGGCCAGCGCTGGGTCCTGTGGAAGGCTGGCCAATTGCTCCCACCCGAGCTCCAGGCACAGCCCCAGGCTAAGAGTCCCCATCCAAGGTGGCCTCTGCCCTGGGGGAAGGTCGGCTCTTGACCTTGGGGTTCTCTGGGTCGGGCACCCTGACCAGGAGGGCTCAGTGGATAGTAGTTGGGTTGTTGACAGGATGAGTACAGGGGGCCACGTGTCTAGGCTGTGGTGGGCCCACCAGAAAATCTTTTCCAGGCAGGGCATGTGGTGGGTGGTCCCAGAGCCAAGACCCTGGAGCCACCTGGTCTGAGTTCAACCTCTGCCCCAGTACCCTCAGATGGATTCTGGATACATTACCAACCTTCTCTGTACCTCAGTTTTCTTATCCAATGAGGATTCCCACCCTCTAAGACAGCGGTAAGGAGCCCTGGTGGGTTACATATCACGCCATTGACCAAAAGGTTGGCAGTTCGAATCCACCAGGTGTCTTGGGAGAAAGACAGTCCCCTCCCATTAATACCTACAGCTTCGAACACCTGATAGAAGGCGCCTGTGAGTCCGAATCAACCCAGCTGTGGGGTGTGGCTGTGTGATTCCCTGGCCTGCTATAACCACACAGTGGATGAGTAACCATCAGAAATGTATTGTCCTAAAGATCTGGACGCCAGGAGTCTGAATTTAGGACGTCCACAGGGTCAACAGCCTTAGAGGAAGATCTTCCCTTGTCTCGGCTTAGTCAGTCCTTGTGTTCTTGGCCCGCAGCTGTGGTTTTACATAGCCAGTCTCTCTCTGGGGCCATCCCTGCCAAAGTCCCTCAGATGAGATAGGATCCCCCCACCCCCACCCCAGCGTGTCATGCTATAACAGTAACATCTTCCCGCTACCTGAGGCCCCTGAATCCATTCTGACTCCCAGCCCTGTAGGACACAGAGGACAGCTTCCCTACCCAGGGTGCAAGGCTGCACATTTTGATAGAATCAGGCTCTTTCCTCTTTTTCCTGAAGGACAGATGATGCATTCACATTTCTGACTTTTGGTTCCTTCAGCATTTTAACCACAGCACCATCAGGCCTCTCTTTGGTAACACTTTCAAAGATTCAGCTTCCAAACCGAGTTCTGGGAGACGCAATTCATTCCACCCATCTCTGTGGCTGGAAAGATGTAACAACATTGAATGTGTGTAAAACGTGCAGGTCACCTGGAACCTCCCTGGAGGATGGTCTAATTTGCTGAACTAATGAGTGGGTGAATCCAGCTCTTGAGTGGCCAGTTATTGGAGCTCCAGTGTTCCGTTCCTGCACGTAGGGAAACTGAGGCTCAGAGAACTTAAGTGACTTATCCTGGATCCCACAGGGAGCCCCAACAGAGTCAGGGTCCCAAGACTTTCTGGCATTTGCTGGCCTTACTCTTGGGGACAGGGACCAGAGACATTGCCATGAGCAAGGGAAGGTCCACGGGCCCCAACAGACAATTCTCATCAAGGTGGCCGGCCAGCCCCTTCCCTCTGCAGTCCAGAGCAGGGCCAGGAGCGGGGCCATCATGCACGCCTGGACCTGAGTCCACCCCAAGTGTGGATGTGCGGTTTCCTAGTCCCCTGTGAGCACCAGGCCTGCTCAAGGCCCAGGCTCGATGCTAGCAGTCCCCAGCAGATTCTTCTAGAACAGCCTGAAACTGAACAGAGTGAGGGGCCCAAGAGATGGGCTGCAGGCCTGTGTGTCTGTGGAAAAAGCATCCCTTCTGATGCCCAGCACCTGCTGGACCCTGGCTTAGGCCCATGATGGTCACCCGTATTAAGTGACACTGACCAGCCCTTGAAGTGTTGGAGAGATGGAACGGGCCTTACCATGGACCTTAGTCAGCAGATCAGTTTTCATCTTACGGGTAAGCAAGAGGGGAGCTCCAAGAGGAGAGTGCCCAGAGACCTCCAGCCTTCCCCCAACATCCTCCTGGAGTTCAAGCCCAGCTCGGGGGACCCCTTGGCGCACGTTGTTCGATGGGTCAGGAACACAGGAGTCACCCCCATGTTCTGCCTTCTCTTGCAGACCAATTCCGCTGGAAGATCCCGGTGTGATCTAGGGAGACCATGTCCATCCCCCTCGACTGCCTGCGGCTGCTCATGAGCACCCCCAAACTTCGGATCTGCACCCTTTTCATCATCACCTTCAAGTTCACCTGCTTCGTCTCCCTCGCCATCTACTGGCACGTGGTGGGGGAACCCAAGAGTCAAGGTCACCTGTACAGCCTGCCTGCTGACGTCCCCTGCCCCCAGCTGGCGACGCCCACGCCGCCCCCCAGCAGCTCCCCACCCGGCAACATCTTCTTCCTGGAGACGTCGGAGCGGACCCACCCCAACTTCCTGTTCATGTGCTCCGTGGAGTCGGCGGCCCGGGCCCACCCCGAGGTCCCCGTGGTGGTGCTGATGAAGGGGCTGGCGGCGGCCAACGCGTCGCGGCCCCGGAACCTGGGCATGGCGCTGCTCGGCTGCTTCCCCAACGTGCAGGTGCGCGCGCTGGACCTGCGCGCACTGTTCCTGGGCACCCCGCTGGCCGCCTGGCACGCCGCCGCGCGCCGCCGCTGGGAGCCCTACCTGCTGCCGGTGCTCTCGGACGCCGCCCGCATCGCTCTGCTCTGGAAGTTCGGCGGCATCTACCTGGACACCGACTTCATCGTGCTGCGCAGCCTGCGGAACCTGAGCAACGCGCTGGGCGCGCAGTCCCGCTACGTGCTCAACGGCGCCTTCCTGGCCTTCGAGCGCGGCCACGAGTTCCTGGCGCTGTGCATGCGGGACTTCGTGGAGAACTACAACCGCTGGGTGTGGGGCCACCAGGGCCCGCAGCTGCTCACGCGCGTCTTCAAGAAGTGGTGCGCCATCCGCAGCCTGAGCGAGCGCAGCGCCTGCCGGGGCGTCACCACCCTGCCTCGCGAGGCCTTCTACCCCATCCCCTGGCAGAACTGGAAGCGGTACTTCGAGGAGGTGGGGCCCGAGGAGCTGGCACGGCTGCTCAGCGCCACCTACGCCGTCCACGTGTGGAACAAGAAGAGCCAGGGCACTCGCTTCGAGGCCACGTCGCGGGCGCTGCTGGCTCAGCTCCACGCGCGTTACTGCCCCACGACGCACGAGGCCATGAAGATGTACTTGTGAGCGCCCGTCCAGGGCAGAGGGAGGTCTTAGCTGCTGTGGGCCTGGAACTGGTGGGTCCCAGCAGATGTAGTGAGAAGGAGCAGGGATTGCGCCCCCACCAACAGTGTGAGGCCGCTGGGGACCCCCCCCCAGGCTGCTATGAAGACCCAGATATTGAGAACGTCACAAGAGAACATTGAACCCAAAACTGAGGGGGGTGAGTGAAGCAGGGAAGCAGCAGGACAGAGGTAGGTGACTGACAGAGAGCCTGGCACGGAGGCTCTGTATAAAGGGACAGGGTCCGAGGAGACACCGATGCTCTGGGAACTGGCAGGACAGGGGGCCCACCCAGTCCCACCAGCCGAAAGAGCTGCTTTTGCCTCTCCTGGTTTTGATTCTTCTTCTGGAGCTCCTTGGGAGAGGCCCTGCCCGCTCCCTCATCCCTCCTTCTTTCCAGAGACATTGCCAGAGGGATCTGCCAGCTGTCCCCGTGAGGGTACAGCGTGTGGATGCTCAGCTCAAGAAAGGCCTGCCTGCCCTCCCCCGAATAAAACGAGACTCACTAGAAAAGAGCGAACCAGTGTCCTGTGGTTTACAGTTAGTAACAGGTCGTCACCCACTCACGCAGCCCTTACTGACTCTTCTACAGACAGGAAACAGCCGGGCTGGGGCCCACTCAGCCCACCAGGTTCTCTTTGAGGAGGGCTCAGGGACTTGGCAGGCCCGCTGCTTCCAAGTCCCAGCATCCTGGGAATGGGAGAGGCCTGAGTTCCTACCCCACAAACAGTGTAGTTTGGCACCCCACCCCCCACCCCCGATAAAGCAGGAGTATAAGTTTCCACCACACAGGCCAAGTGAGGTCCCTCAAGGAGCCCACTCCCTAATGGAGGGGGGGGGGCTACACGGAGGGAGGTGGGAGTTCCTTTGGGGTCAGCAGTGCCCTGCTGGGTGGAGGAAGAGCTCTGTCTGGGCCAGGCCCCAGCTGGTTTGCATTGAGGGAACCGCCTAAGGAGCTCGCTCTCGGCAGGACTGGGGCCGCTGCCAGGCACAGCCGAGGGAGGAGCCTCCTGAGGCCTCCAGATTCCGCCTGCAGCGGGTCCAGCAGCCTGGGGAGAAGGTGAGCTCCGCGGCTCCCCCCAGAGGTGTTCCAGAGCAGGGGATGTTTCTGATGAGAGGAGAATTCAGCGACCAGTAGAAAAGTGCATCTGTCAAAGGCAGGAAACTTGTTGAGACCAGGCTGTCCCATTGGAACACTGGCTCGCTCAGCCGTCACTGGGATGGGATTTGTACAGATTTCTGTATGTAAGTGAGACGGTTTCTTCGGATCACTGTCACACTCACTGCTGTCCTCAGAACTGAATCATAGCTGCCCTTCTGGTGGGTTGTGAGAGGCTGTCACTCATGTGGGAGGAGATAGCCCATCTTCACTGGTGGAGGCAGATGTCAGGGAGGGTCCGCCTTTGGTTTGGGCGTGCAGCTCCTTACAGATTGTACCAACGGTGCGCCCAGCAGGCCGTTATATCCTAACCTCCTAGACATCCTCTTGGCATCGGGGCCTCTGTTAGAAGCACCTATATCTCTCTGTGGCTCAAAACAGGTGCACCCTGCACCCCCATCTCACAGGATCTCCCAGACAGGCGTCCCGATGTGATTCACAGAACCAGGAGTTACAGGGTTTGCTCACGTGCAATCTGATTCTTTTTTTTTTTTTTTTTTTGCAATCTGATTCTTAGTTTCTGCTCCACCAGCGCTGGCTGGCCCCGCTCCAATCAAGTCCGCTGAATCTTAATAGTTGGCAAGAGCCCATGTTTGGTGGATTTGAAGTGCCGACCTTTCCATTAGCCACCCAGGGCGCCTAGCACCCCTCCAAGCCTGCTTGGAGGTTCACTGTTGCCTGTGGGAGCCTCTGGTAAAGAGGGAATGCTCACGGCCTATGTTCTTGCCAGATGTGGGGGTGACTCACCTGCCCTCCCACACCCACTGTGAGGAAGGCCTCCCCTGGAGCTGTGTCATCTATGTTTTGTGTCATCTGAACTTGTAGACACCATCAGGGGGCACCTTTCAGAGCATGATGGGGGGGATAGGACAGGGGGTCAGTTTGTGCAGAGGGAGTCCTGGGGTCCGAGAGCTCTGGGGCTCTGACTGCTGCCCACTGCCCAACCCGCACATAGTGGCCTGGCGGCTTGATGTCCTGACGTCCTGGTCCTGGAAGCCTGGCCCTGGAGGCCTGGCAGGCTCAACCACTCTTCCTTGGACTGGCAACTGGAGCATTTCTCGGAATGGTGGAAGGGAGGGGCGCCGGTGGAAACATGCCCTAGGGATGTGAAATGAGATCTGCCCAGGGCCTGTTTGTCTTGTTACGGAGTGTGTTTATAGATGTTCTATCGGGAGAAGACTAGAGGAGCCATCCTTTTATCTTTATCCCTCTACTGGGGGACACCAAGTGACCCCGCAGGGGTCCGAGCTAGGCATGCTGCCAATTCTTTCACAGAAACATTCTCGGCCAGCAGAGCTTAGGAGAGAGAGCGCAGGTCCTAGGAGAGCAGGCTGAGTGGGGTTCCCAGCAGCCCTGAGGCCGGGGAAACCACTCCCCAGCTGCAGAATGAATATTAAACTTTTTGTTTAAATATTAAATTGGAATGTGCTCCATCTGAGTGACTAAGAGAGAAAAAGCTGCCTGAGTAATTCAGGTCTGAGTTCCTGGAAATCAGACTGCATGGTTCCCTGGTTCCCAAGCTCAGCCTGTCCTGACCAGCCTAGTGCAGGGCATGCTGGGAAGTTCTGCTGGAGGTCAGGATCAGGACTGGACCAGCTTCGAGATCTGTCACTGGGGGTGAGTTCAGATGTAACCTGGGCTACCCTGAGCCCTGAACCAAAAGGAAACCAGGAAGCAGGGGGAGGTGTGAATTCAGTGCGTCGTTGTTGTTGTTGTTGTTAGGTACTGTCAAGTGGAGTACGACTCACGCTGACCCTGTGACCCCTCGTATCGTGTGCCATCCTCACCATCTCTGACACACTCAAGCCCTGCATCTTGTTGGGAGTCTTCCTCTTTTTCAATGACCCTCTGTTCTTCCAAGCATGCTGTCCCTTTCTAAGAAATAGCTGCTCCTAGCATCATATCCAAAGTGTGAGGGACAAAGCTTAGCCATCCTTGCCTCCAAGGAGGACTCCAGTTGCGCCTTCTCCAAGACATATCATCTCTTTGTTCTTTTGGCAGTCCATGGGATACACGGTATTCTTCTCCAACATCACAATTGAAAGGCATCAATTCTTCCGTCATCCTTATTTATTGTCCAGCTCTTAGATGCATAGCAAGTAATGCAAAAAACCATGGCCTGAATCAGGGGCTCTTCAGTCTTTAGGATTTTGGAGAGGTCCCTGACCTAAGGCAATACATCTTCTTATCTCTTGACTGCTGGTACCCAAGCGTGTTGATTGAGGATCCAAGCAAGTTGAAATCATCAATGGTTTCAGTCTTTTCTCCATCATGGGTTGCCCATTGGCCCGGTGATAAGGACCTTTGTTTTTTGATGTTGAGATGCAATCTTCTGCAACAGGTGCTTCAGGTTCCCCTCGCTTTTAGCAAGCAAGGTTGCTATCTTTATAGCACGGCTTGTTGATGAGTCATCTTCCAATTGTAATGCCACATTCTTTTTCATAAGAGTCTGGCTTCATGAGTTATGTGCTCAGCATACAGACTGAATAGGTATGGAGAAAGGGTACACCTCTGACTCATACCCTCTTCCTGATTTTAAACCATAAAGTGTTCTTCATTCTGCTTGGGCAACAGGTCTAGGTATAGATTTGGCATGAGCACAATTGAGTTCTGAGATTCCCATTCTTTTTAATGTTCACCATAATTTGTGATCCACAAAGTCAATTGCCTTTGAAGAGTCAATAAAAAGAGAGACATTCTTTCTGATTTTCTCTGTTTTCAGCCAGGACCCATCTGATGTCAGCAAATGACATTCCTGGTGCTACGGCCTCTTCTAAATCCAGCTGGAACTTCTGGCAGTTCCCTGTCAATTTACTGTTCCCACTTGGTTTTGGATGATCTTTAACAATATTTTGCTTGCAGGTGATATTACTAATACTGTGCAATAATTTCCACATTGTCTTAGATAAATCTGTCTTGAGGATGGCAAATAGGCTTTATTTTAAACTCAAACCTTCATGAAAGCAAGCTGAGGTTTAGTGTAGCGTCAGCCGCAATTAAAACATTGTGTTTTGCTATTAACATGACTGGGAACTTCTGAGCTAAACCTGGACTTGTATTGTGAGATATTCTTGGCCTCTCCTACTCCTCAACCTACTTCTCTAATAAGCCCCACTCTTGGCACCACAACTGTGAGCAAAGTCAAATCCAGTGATTGGTGGAAATAGGTGCAGGAGCATGGGGACATACAGCAGCATGCGTGACCTAGCAGCTATCTGTTTGCTGTTGTGGATATTATTGATGGGGACAGTGCCCCTTTATGAAGCAGGTGGAAGTTAGACTCGGCCATCTCTGCTCAGAGTAGCTGGGGGCAGGGGCTTCATCATCCCACATCATATATTGATTAAGGGACCCAGGAAGCTACTGAAGATGAGGGGAGGGAACCCTCAAACAAACAGAAATACAGTTTCATCCAGCAAACCTATATGATATCCCAAAGATAAGCTGCAACACAAATTAACATAACAGAAACGTATGTTTATTGCAGCATTATTTACAATAGCAAAGAATTGGAAACTGTCAAGTGTCCATCGATGGACAAATTTTTAAAAACTTATGGTACATTCACATGATGGAGAATTATTCATCACTGAAAAAAATGGTCAGTAATTCATCAAATACTGCACAACATGGGTGAATTTAGAACAAATGATACATGACGAAAGAGCAGCTGGTGGCCTTGAACCGTGTGCCTTTGGTATTGCAACACAGCTTCTTGCAGGGGTGATTAGACATTAAAGATAATTACATTCATCGATGGTAATTGGTTGTTGTTGTTGTCATGTGCCATCGAGTCGACTCATAG